CAAAAAAAAAAAAAAAAAAAGTACACATGCCTAAGATCAAAGACAGTCAAAAAAAACAAATCAAATAAAGCCTCTAGATCCCGATAAAAAGAGCCAGGGATAAGAGTTCGTGGACTTCAGTGCTGACACCCCCTACCACCTCTTGGTAGCTGTGTATCCTCTTTCTTTTCTATCATTTTTCCACCCAAATAAATCATCTTTTGTCATACTAAACTTTGCCTTTTTTAAGTTCTTTAGTGATGCAGGGTTTAAGATCACTAAGAGCTGTGTTTTCAGCAAAACAGTGACCCAGCATGCTGAGCCATCCACCCCCAGACATAACAGTTTGTTTGCAGTTTTGAGTATTGTACCTAGGGCCTTGTGCATAGTAAGCAAGCACTATCATGGAGTTACATCACCAGCCTCATGTGCTTTTGTTTATTTGTTTTGTTTTGTCTTGTTTTATTTCCAGCACTTGGGACTGAACCCAGAACTTTGGCACTGAGCTGTATGCCCAACCCTTTTATTTTTTTATTATGTAGTCATCTTTTTTTTTTTTTTTTTTTTTTTTTTTTTTTTTTTTAGTTTATTGGTACAGTCTAGGTCTACAATACAGTTACATTCATTATTGGGATCCTGTACCTTCACATGACAGTTGTTGGTTCTCATTTTTTCAGTCGTCTTTTTTTTTTTTTGTACCAGGGATGGAACTCGGGACCTTGTGCTTGCAAGGCAAGTGGCGGAACCACTGAGCCAAATCCCCAGCCCCATTTTTTTTATTATGAAACAGGGTCTCACTAAGTCACTTGGTTGCCCAAACTGGGCTTGTACTTGTCACATAGGTTATTTTTAAAAGATATAACTTACAAACCATTAAAAAAATCACCCTTTTAGTTAGGTGTGATTGTGCACACCTGTAACCCCAGCACTCTGGGAGGCTGATGTGGGAGGATTGCAAGTTTGAGCCCAAGCAATTTAGTGAGACCCTGTCTCAAAAAATAAAAAGAGATGGGGAGCTAGGGATGTAGCTTGGTGTGAAGACCCTAGATTCAATCCCTAATATTAGAAAACAAAACAAAGCACTCTCTTTAAGTACACAATTCAGTAATTTTTGTTATATCCCCTTCTATCTACTTTCAAGAACAGTTTGATTACTCCAAAAATAAATCTTACATCCATTAGCAGTCAAGTCCCACTCCTCTCCTTTCTGAGTCCCATGAACTCACTAATCTGCTTTCTATTTTTAAGGAGTTGCCTATTCTGGACATTTCCTGTAAGTGGATCATATAAGATGTGGTACCCCCCACCCCCAGTACTGGGGATCAAACTCAGGACCTTGAGCTTCCAAGGCAGGTGTGGTGCCACTGAGATATATCCCAAGCCCTAGATGTGGCATTTTGTATCTGGCTTTTTTCTTTCTTTTGTCTTTTTATTTTATCTGGCTTTTTTCACCTAACATATTTTCTAGGTTAATCTATGTTGTGGCCTGTGTCAGTACTTTATTCCTTTTTTAATAACTAAATAATAATTTTATGGTTATGCCACATTCTGTTTATCTATTATGCTGTTAATAAAAAGATTTGCTCAGATTATTTTCATTTTTGGCTATTATAAATAATGCTGCTGTGAAAACTGGAGAATACATTTTTGTGTTCACACACACATGTTTGTGTGGGTACTAGGGATTAAACTTAGGACCTTCACACACACACACACACACACACACACACACACACACAAAAGGAGGGCTGGGGATTTATCTCAGTGGTGCAGCACCTGCCTCACAAGCTCAAGGTCCTGAGTTCTATCCTTGGTACCCCAAAAAGCAAAAACAAAAAAGACAAAAACCGTAAACTTTAGGGCCTTCCCACTAAGCTATATCCCAACTCAGTCCTTCTTTTGTTTTGTTTTTAAATTTTAAGACAGGTTCTTGTTAAATTCTCTGGGCTGACCTCAAGCTTGTGATCCTTTTGTCTCTGCTCCCTGAACTTCTGGATTACAACCATGCATCACACGGTCTGTACTGACATGTATTTTCAATTGTCTTGAATATGTACCTACCACTAATAGACACTGAGTCATATGTTAACTTTAGGTTTAACTTTTTGAGCCACTGTAAAACTGTTTTCAAAAGCGGTTGCACTATTTTACATTCCCACTAGCAACATGAGTTTTCTAATTTCTCCACATCCTTGTCAAAGCATTATTACTGTAGTCATCCAAGTGAGTGTGTAATAGCATTATTAAGTCACCCAATAGTCATCACTGTGTATTGATTTGCATTTTTGCGTTTTCCTAATGGTTGTTGATGTTCAAAAATTTTTTTTCCTTTTTGAGACAGGGTCTCACTATGTAGTTCAGCTTGGCCTTGAACTCACTATGTAGCCCAGGCTGTCTTTGAACTAACTCAAGGCAATCCTCCTGCCTCAGCCTCCTGAGTGCTGAGATTACAGGCGTGTGCCACATTGTCTATTTTCTACATTGAGTTGTTCCTTTTTTTCCCCCTTTGGTTTTTTGAGACAGGGTTTCACTATGTGTTGAGACTGACCTGGAACTCACTATGTAGCCCAGGCTGGGCTCCAACTCAAAGAGATCCTCCTGCCTCAGCCTCCCGAGTGCTGGGATTACAGGCGTGCACCACCACGCCTGGCCACTGAGTTGTCTTTTTATTGTTGAGTTGTAAGAGTTCTTTATATATTCTGGATACTAATCCCTAAATGTACACACTTTATTTTGTATTATTAATTACATCACCACTGGTTGTAAGAGTGCTTTTGTAAACTGCGAAAGATGACGGAAGAAAAAATTTGGGAGACGACAAACAGTGAAAGGACAGAGGTACGAGGTTCCGCAGCATGCGGGGGTTGGCGCCGTGTAAATCTCCGCTGCGCCGAGCTCAGCATCCCAGACCCCTGTTTCCCACCCGCCAGCCCCGCCCTCGCCCTTTGACCCGCGCTGCTTCCGGTTGGAGACGTGGCTCGGGGCGGCCATCTTGGCAAGAGGCAAAGCGGCAGTAGCTCCTGTCAGGGGGAAGCCAGTCCTAAGCGGCCGGTGCTCCCCCTCCCGGGACCCCAGCCCCAGCCCCAGTGGAGCCGGAGCGCGGGTGCGCCCCACCA